GTAGATTTAACCAATCCGGCTGTAGCGTTCTGAATCATTCACCATCATTTGATCTAGCTACGAAATCGGATCTTGGTAAAACTTGCTCGGTGGCATGACCCAATGCACATGGGAACCATTTCTTGTTTGGAAATTTCTTCTGTTCTTTTATATTATCGTACTCTGTTATCTATTGTTTCAGTGAGTACATACATTAGATATTTATTTCGAGGCGAGTAAAAACTGGTGATCCAGTGTATTGTTCCGTTCCTGGGAGATCCCGTACTTGGGTACGCTTCACCGATATCAATACGTTTGGATCACCTAAAGGGGTATATGGAATTCACCAAGTAGCATACAGCCTCACCACCACGACAGATTTTCCTTGGAATCCACTGGGATCCAAATGTGAAAAGCTTCGTGCTCTGTCGATGTGGTCTCGTGGCTCAACGGACAGACAGAGGGAACAATGCGCAAAAGTGTGTGTAGGTGCGGCGTGTGTGCGTCGGTTCGAGGCTACTGAAATTTTCACACTTAAAAAAGCTTATGACTGCAATCTGCCAAACAACACAAGTTAAACAATTTCAATGCAGATAGATGGTGGTGAGATAAAAACTGGAGTAGCTACTTGCCCAGCTGTAGATACCAGCGGTGATTGTGAATGGTCAAACATGCCTTTCATTTCTCATTTTAAAAAATCAAATACAAAACAAGAAACTGGAACTTTCAGTTTTGATAGACTGTTCAAATTGCATTGTTTGGTAGATTTAAGTGAGATTCGAATCCACACATGGGCGTCGCTACTATTTATTCACGGGTTGTATGGGTACAGCTTCCGACTGAAAGGGTCACGTGACCCTTCAATCGGAACCTTTTACTTTCCCCTCATTTTACATTGTTTTCCAGGCTTATTGTATGAACGAAGGATTGTGTGAAACGCAATTGACGATAAATCCTGAAAGTGGCACTTCCAGTGAGACAGTCATGTGTCGTTGCCCGAACGGTTATGGCGGATCACGTTGTCAGCTGTTCACCGATGTCTGCTTCTCTAATCCCTGTCTCCATGGCGGTTCATGTCAGCCAATCTCGCATGTGTCAGGACTGCTGTCTTCTTCCTCGGCCCCACTCGAGCTGAGTCATCCGGACCGGATGATGAACTATCCGAATAGGACAACCGAAACAGCCACAACTGCGGCAGCAGCAGCATCAACAACAACATCACTCACTCGGGGTGGTCCCGCGTACGAGTGCATCTGTCCTCCTGGTCGAGTCGGTCGACACTGCGAATTGGATCGCGATGCGGCCTGTTTGCCCGATAGCTCACCGTGGTGTGCTAACCAAGCACAATGCATCGCCGGTCCGGAGGGTTCGAAATGCAACTGTCCGCCAGGTAACCACGACTTTAGTCGATGCATGCAGTTCGACTGATGCACCACACATACATATCCCTCTTTCTCTCTCTCTCGCTGTGTGTATTTGCATTCCATTGCCCTGCTGGCTTGATTTGTCCTTCATTCGAATATCATAAAGAATGTGCGTTCCGGCTATTAGAGAAAATTTGTATGATTCGATCGTCTTGTTGTACGGTCATAAAGTGCAAAAGAAATGATTTGAAACAATTCAGAATATTGAGAGTTGGAAATCCGTTATCACAGGATCGAATTTAATGACGATGCTGATCACAGTACAATAGTTCCCATGCTATACAACTGGATCTCGGTCCAGGGTAGATGCAGAACTGTAATTGAACTACTCGAACGATTCATCATTCAAGTCTTATTGACCAATTCGTTAATCGGGCGATATCCTCGTCGGATATCAAGTGTGGACCTTACGATGAAAGTTTTTTCAGCATTCAAACCAAAATAACCAAGCGGATTGTGCTGTCTTGTGGCTGACATTGTTGGACTTGGAGAGGGAATCTGGTTGCAGTTATGCCCAGGTGATGTAGATCACTATCGAACTGCCCCGACGGTTGATTTCAAATGTGACTCTCTGTCTGACTTCATTGCACACCACACTATCTTTTTGATGGACTGCCTTCGATCACCTCCCCCCCCCCCAACCTCCCGCTCCCGGTGAATTTGATTGCGCGATTATCAGTAAAATGTCAGTAAAATATTATCATTGTCTGTGTTAATGGTGGAACGAGAAAATTAAAGTTTCGAAACAAGTTTGTTCGCAGTGTTTCACAATCATAGCAGCTTGATAAATCACAAAACTAATTATACAGAACGGGATTGAACGACTAGGACCTAGATATTTACAAATTCTCATATTCGGACTTCCTTCACTTCGAATTGGTGCTAAATCGGTTTTGTACTGTGCTGAGTTTAACCCAAGCAAGTTTGATTGATCGCGCGAATTATTCCTAAGTATCCACGGTTGGGTAAAACAGACAAATTCCCAAATTTTCTCATGACAGAAGTCCTGTACCCCCTTCCCGATTTTTATCATTATTTTTACTCATGCATACACTAAAATTATCGTTGTCATGTTAGGAACAATACAACCAAACAAAAATGCATGGACAAACCACAATTCCCAATGTGACAAATATATGGATGTTTCCAGTTTAAAGTCATTTAATGCCCAGTGCGTGGGTCTTTGGATCAGTCTCTCTATCTCTCGATATTCTATGCTATGCGATCGGGAGTTTTCTCGGTTCGTGTGTTCTATAGTGCAACTTCTTGTCCCCACCCCACCCCTTCGTCACCGCCGCTACCCCCGCTACACCACTCCCGGGGGCCCAAATATTTTTTTTCTACATAATTCAAGTATGATCTGCATGCGGACCACATCATTTTGTATTGCTGACGTGAGATTGCATGTGTACAATGCACACTTTTCAGCTGTGTGCTAAGAGAACTTTCACGTCTGTATTCCAAATAATTGGCTTCCACATATGGCCATTTGAATTCAGTCGTGGAAATGGTCCCGCTCTGATATGTCACCGTGTATGCATTCGAATCTCGCTTCGCGGTTCACTAGGGCAATAAGTCGTGCACGGACCTAGTAAACTCGTGACCAAATTTACGGCATTGTATCTCACCCACCCAATTAGTTGTCATTCCCGCAAATCATGCAAGCAGTAATTCCACGCTTTAGGCCCTCTCATGGTTCGACCTGTTTTCGTCACTGGAAAAGACGAGACCCCGTTTACTTTCCATGTTGCACTACGCTCATCCCTCAGTGAATCTTCTTTGTTTTTAGTTGCAAAGTTATTACAAACACGCACCTTCTCATGCGCTTGTCTTTATTGTATCGTTCTCATTAAAATGTGTAACTTAAGTACCGTTCTTATTTACGGTGACTCACCCAGTCTGAGACCATACATTTGCGTCTACCTTTCTCTGTTGGCTTGTGTCTAATCACTTTGAATCGTTTGTAGTTGTTTCCGCCTCACGGTAGATGCGCACGTGTTGTTTCGTTCGAATATTTTTCCATTCATGCTTCAATGTGGTTCGATATCCTTAGTCCTGTTCTAGTTGACCACATTTGAGAGAATGATTCACTTAGACGCCCCCTGTTCCTACTCCAAGGTTATTGCAAGTGAAGTCCTGTCAAGGCTATGATGCATGCCCAAATATTATACCAATCTGTTAACCACTGACTTGCCAAGCTAGAGTTGAGTTGTTTGTCCCTGAATCAATTCACGGAAGTCTAGTTTCCGGATCGCAGTACTTTAAACTAGGTTGATTGGTAGTGCTTTGGCATTCTTTACTTTAAAAAAAACGGACTACTTAATCGAGTATCGTATCCTAAGGCATTGGGTACAGCGCGGGCCATGACGAATTTGGAGCATCAATGTACCGTAATATTGATGCATGTGAACCCACTTTAGGTTGTGTAAATATGTACTTTTTTAGAGTACTTTCTGCTACGGAAATGATCCGGTCCTACCGCTATGTCAATTCGGGTTGTCTCAGCTGATTGGCCAAAAATATTTCATTCTCGTCACTGTGGCTGTTAGCTGTAATCTTTGCAAATTTTGTGAGTTCGCATCGAGTAGGGAGGCAGGGGGACAGATGCGGCCCGTTAGCGTTGTTTATCGATTTTCGTATTGAACATCAACATTATGAAGGAACCCATCATAGTTGGACCCAGTGGAAGTTGCATTTTTGACGCATTTGTGCGATAGATCATTCCTAGGCAACACTAATGCGTGTCTTACAACATATGGTTCTCATACATTCTCGATCACGGTAGAAAATTGTTATTATGTATACACTATTTCATGAACAATCATATTTCTAGAACCTATGAGGTATTCTATAGTCCCCTTGGATAACTGCCTGGGGAATCAATTTTCATGCGATAGTGGAGGTCCCGTATAACTCAAAGCTTAGAATCTTGAATATATCCTTTGAGAAAAATAATACCATTCGGCTGCAATTAGAGCTGACCGGTTTTACTGCGCCTTTTTGTCTTTCAAAGACAAATTCTATCAACTAAGGAAGGTATACACATTTAGATCGAATATAGCAGAGACAGATTTTTGTACAGTCCATGCGATTAGAATATGAAATCATCCATCAACAAAAGCAGCGCTTGCATTCAAACGTTTGTCTACGGGACTGTTTTCTCGGCATCGATTACAGAAAGTGAATTTTGCCAGCTCACACACAGTTAAACAATGTTTACGAGGTCAGTGAAGATATTAGTGCTCGTTCACCCACTCCGCAGTCATCACAATTTCGTATCTGTTTTTAAAATACATTTTTTGGCCGCAGAAACTTTCCAGAATGCAAGTGTTGACGAGGAGAAAATCCAAGCATGGGGAAAATTTAACTCTGCCACCAACCCAGTTCCATTGTCAAGTCCATACATCAACGATAGGAGTAGCCTGGCAACTGCCCCCTCCTCCCACCTCGGTTATTGCTTCTCTACTCTACCGAGCTTCACGATCAGCTGCAAAGACTAATTCCCAACTGTCCTCCAACAGTTCACAGTGATGCAGTACAAACAACAGCCGCCCGGTGTGTGTTTGGGTGTGTTTGGGTGTATCGGGTCGAGTGAGTGGTGCCAATGATGGTAGTAGTAGTATTAGTAGTAGTATCAGCATTAGTAGTAGTTGCCCCTGTTTTTACACCACCATTGCGGACTATATCTTTCTTCTCTCACAATCGCCAAATCGCGTTCATCTCACTAACCTATCGAATATGTCCGCATGCATCTGTGGGCGGTCTCACCGATTCTAGCACTCATTCCACATAGACAATAGGCTCATATGTGACCATCACAGGGGCGGGGTGGGGTGGGGGCGAGGTGTAGGTAGTGGTTGATGAAAAGTGGAGCGAGTCGGTGAACAACACTTACCGATCTCGTCAGCTGTTACTTTCACTGGCCCTTGTACTATGCGGTTGAAATGAGTCATCATTCCTGGTGGTTGCACTAGCAGCCACCATTGCCCACCTTCTCGTCTTCATGTCTGCTTCAGGGGCGTCTAGGATTTGGAAAATTATGGGATAAGACCGAAATAGACAAATTCTCATCGGGCCCAGTCAAACCGCACGCCAAATTGTGGAATGGGATTTCTTGTTGTAGACAGGTCTTGCCTGACCACTACTCTACCACCACCACCACCAGCAGCAGCAGCAGCAGCAGTAACAGCACAATCATCAACTTCTTGGTCCTCGTTGTCGTCGTCGTGGTCGTGGTCATCATCTTCATCGTCTTCACATGCGGACAAGGGCATCAAAAGCCGCAATAGCGGCCGCAACAACAAAAACAACAACAGCAACATCAATAGCAACAATGAAGACAACAGAAACAGGGGTTAGATTGTGAGAGTGCGTGAGAGACTGGAAGTACCAACGTTTTGGTGCCATCACTAGATCATCATCATCGGCAGCAGCATCGCGCTTTCAGGGTGCACTCGAGCTATATATATATATATATATACACACACACACACACACACACGAAGAGTGGTTCAGGGGAAATATGATGATCTATGGTGTTACAGTCAGCGCCCTCTGGGAGCGTGGGATGAGTGCGTTCATGCAGCTAATGTGTGTGTGTGAGTGCGTGCGTGTGTATGTTTATTCCTGCGCGTGAGCTATTGATTGTGTGTTGATAGCATTATAGTAACGTATCAACTTTGTGTGCAAGGTTTCGGTAACCGTATTTACCGATCAGCCGAGTACTAATGAGTTTGGAAAGCTTTTCCCCACTTTGTCTAAGCCGTCGGAAACCACATCACCAACTCTGGATGGTCATCTCTCTCCCTCTCCCTCTCTCGGATCGGGGGCGGGTGGAGGGGGCTCAGATTCCTGGTATTGATCCCGCTGACACTCCTTCGATCGTTCATAGGCCTGGATATTGCACATCAAGTTGTTCAGTTAGGATTGAGAAATGGGATTCCGTTTTTGCTTCAAGATAGTAGTTTTAATTAATTGTGGATGACAGATGCTCTGGCAGTTTGGCGATATAACAACTCGGAAAATACGAGACTCTTCGATTTCATTGTCGATGAACTGTTGTTAGTAATCTATAGACGAACCGTCGCTCAGTCTGGACAATCAACCGGATGAAGATGAGATCATTGGAACCAGCGTGCTTCGCGGTCAATAGTTCCGAGGCAACAAAATAATTAAAGTTGCCGAACTCTCCGCTATGCTTGATAAATCGGTGGTTTGCCCATGTGCAGCACATAATGCCAGATTTCCAGGGGTCAAAATGAATAATTTTGTTGGGGATTCATAACTGGAACTTTGGATTATCCAAAGTCTGGTTCACAAGCAAAGTAGGGTCAGATGTGAGCTAGCTGTTCGCGGTTCAGCAAGCTGACTATAATCCCAGATTTTAGCTTCTTGCCCTCATGTTGGTCCTTTGATAGCAGGCGTTTTCGGCCACCTTCCAGAGTAAGAACAAGTTTGCAACCATCCTGGAACATGGTAGGGTTACTTGAGGGCCCAGTATGCGTTGTTCAGTTTGGTCACATATCTACTCAAATCGGAGGAAATGTGATATACAGAATTCTGTCGTGTACAGAGCGAATGAAGCGGGAATTGAACCGAGCTGAACTGTACAGATGTTTCGATCCGATATTGGTATTGCAGTACCCCAAATGAGCGGAATTTCAAATCGATCCACCCAGATCCACGGAATAACTGCACCGGTGAATTGTTGTGGTTAAGCGAAAAAGATTGATCTTCCGTGAATTCCTTGTATTGCTTGGTGGGATACTAAACTGCACCATTTATGTCATCCGTGCGGGCATCACACGTGTAGTTCTGGATCGGTTCCAAACAAGTTTCGCAACTTCTCGGATCTAATATGAGATTTTTTGAGACGAGAAAAGACTGCGTTCACATAAAGCCTTTTTCGTTTTCTTTGGCAACAGTGAACAGTCATTCTTTCCATACCTCTCTCTCTTGCAGAATTTCTTTTTGTGTTTTTAAATGGAAAATCATTTTTAAAGTTTTACCAAACTACTCAGATCACAAATCAGCCTGAATAATAGATAATGGACATTGAAAAATTAAGCCAATTTGTGCTGAATACCAAAAAGTCGTTGGCAAATTATCATGTTCAGTTGATTTGTGGGTTCAATGCGAGTAACCATGGAATTTTCACGCGAGGATAGAAACTTCTACTAGATCCAGTTCCACCTGAGTAGTGTCATTACTCGGGGTCTGTAGATATGCGTTGGAATCTAGGGACCAATCATACATTTGGATTCAAATATCTGTTGGCTGTATGTTTGTGTGTCGAAACCGAATCGAAACGAGCATGTTCTTATCCTGTATAGTGGACTGGGAGATGCACTTGACCGTTTTGTTTGCTCTCTGTCCGCCCTCATGATACACTGCCCTATTCTATCAACCCACTTTACATGACGTACATCTCATTCTGTCTCTCTCCCGATGAAATGCACCCGCTTGCAGGCTTTTGTGGGCTCCACTGTGAGAAGAACGGGACAGCTGATTGTGCTCCACTCATCCGACCGGAATCGGTCTTCGCATCGTGGCTAGGTGCATCGATTGAATCGGACACATGTGAGTGGAATCAGTGCGCGACAAAACGTGGGAACGGTCGATGCGATCCGGAGTGCGATCGCTTGGCATGCGATTTCGATGCGCTTGAGTGTTTACTCCCGGTGACTGATCCATTGGAACCACTTGATCAACTGACCGGAAGTGAGCGCCTCACTTTTGGGTCGCTCAAAAACGGGACAGAATCCGGATCGCAACCCCGGCCTCGGCTACTGCCCATTCAATCACCCAAACCCAGCCTGCCTTGGAGCAAGTGTACTGCGATTCGTCGTGACGGCATCCCATGTCATCTGCGATTTTCCGATGATCGGTGTGATACGGCTTGTGCGACTGAAGCCTGTCTATTTGATGGATGGGACTGTGAGACGGAGTCACAAATTCCCGATCCCATGACCGGCGATCGCGCAGACGTGAGTCAATGGCGTTTTATTTGTTCCACCTTTCATCCATCCATCCATCCATCCATCCATTCATTCATTCATTCATTCGTTTACGCATTTATGCTGGTTCTAAGAGGCCTCTTCATCTACCTTTTGTGGTTCTACTTTCTCTTTGTCCTGGTTGTCTTTGGAGTTCCGCCATTATTGAAATGGAAACAGTATTGTAATGTGTATGAATGATGGCGACTCATCGTGGTAAATCGAATAGCATACAAAATGCTCATGTCAGTACCATAGTTCAAGGTCATGAGTATCCTTCAGACCTTCATTTTTTTCAGTCCTGTCCAGCCTTTTGACTGTTGCCTGGTTTCCTGATTTAGCTACACTTTATTTCGGGATAGATGGAGGCCGATGCCTTCTCACCAGTCGGACCACATGATGACTGGAACACTGAAACTTCCTGTCACGGTTGTTCTACCCGATCAGGCAGATCGCTGTCCTCTTTCTGAACCGACACGGTGATCATGCGTCACAAATGCATAACATAACTAACTCGAATTGTTGATATCGTGCAAAGAAAGTGCCGAACACCGTGGCTGCTAAAAGAACATCACTAATCGAAGATTGAGTTCACAAGCTGGACCGGATGGGAACCACAAAAAATGCTCAGCTGAGTCGGAACTACTCGCAGTCAGTTGTGAGGTGGCTGTGCCACTGTATTGTGCGGATACAACGAGCGAATCGGAGGTGAAAAGGAAAGGCTTGATGTGTTTTACACCGCCGATATCTATCCAAAACGACGGAAAAGTATTGTTTTACTTATATAGATGTGAGTTAATTCGCTTCGATAGCCTTCATGATACAGAACCCTGTTTTTAAACAGATGTTGTCGCTTATGGACGCGAGGAAATTTTGTTAACTCGCTCTCCCAAGGGAAGTAAGACATGCTCCGTCTTTTTCCCTATCTACGCTTGTTAATCCACAACCCAATCACCAGAAGACTTTCACTAGCAGCATTATTCTGTGCTTTTATTTCGTCCGGTAATCATATCTAGTTACCAAGATGGCTTCTCAAACGCGCTTTCTTCTATAATCAGTGTGAGCGTCCATATCCATTCAGCCGTCTCCAAGGAATTACGCAGCACTACCTTATACATGGCTCCGCTACTGTTCTGATAGTGTATGCCTTCCTAAATCAATCGGTATTTATCACAAACCAATGCGAATACCCCTTTGTTTGGTTGCGATTTCCTCAAAAATTCAATTTTTACTCATCTTTTTGTTTTGTCTCACAAACAAACGTCAGGTGAGAGAGGGAACTAGATTTTGGTACCAAACATCGAAATAGGGATGTATCGCATTGACTTTTCAAATTAGTCGCATATTAAAAAACCTCGTTGGCCAAAATGCATTGCATGAGGAGAGAAATGATAATTGACACATACACTTATATGCGTATTTGTTAATGTATTCAACAGGAATGTTTGAACGAATGAGTATAGATAACTTTGACGTTCTTTTTCTCAATGAACCTCTTTGAAACCACCCACATATTGCGTGCCAAATTTTCACACACACACACACACACACACACACACACACACACACACAGAAGCATATGCAATTTGAATTGTGTGATTGAAAGATATAAAGTGGACCGTTTTTCACACTTCATCTTGACATTCGCGGGCGTGCGAGAGAGTGTGTGTGCGCCCCAATGTCTTGCCTCGCGATGGTGACGAGTGCGATAATCATCACCACGAGGGAGGAGGGACTGACGAGGATAGATTACTACGGAGTTAG